TAATTAATTCAGGAAGAAAAAAAAGTGAGAGAAAAAACCTAGTAATTTACTGATCACCAGGTATCTTTCAAGTACATGCATTACTTCTCATTTCATCCTAAAAACAAACCTAAGATGTAAATATTTACGCCGATTTTAGGCGCGGGAAAAATAAGTATCAGAGAAATTAAGTGACTGGCCGAAAGTCATAAAGCTGTTTCATGGATAAGCTAAGACTCAAACTCAGGCCTGTCTTCTAGCCCGTGTTCTTGGCACTACACAAGGACACTTCGGAGGCTCTGTGTCCTTATCTGAAGAAAAGCAGGCATTATATTTACATGCTCCTAAGCCCTGGTGGCACGGTGGTTAAGACATAGGGCTGCTAAGCAAAACGTTAGCAGTTCGAATCCCCCAGCTGCTCCCTGGAAACCCTATAGGGCAGTTCTACTCTGTCCTATAGAGTCACTATGAGTTGGATTGACTTGATGGCAATGGGTTTGGTCTTTTTAAGGACAATGTGTAGATAAAGAATTCTATATTTTTCAGCCTGGGTAAGGAAGAGTGGGATCTATAAAACAACATCTTAATCATTCAAAATTCCTGATTCAAACAACTTCACAAAATATAAATCCTTAACATCTGCTGTAGAACTAATAACTCCACAAAAAGAAGTTAATAAATGGACCTAATGTTTTTACAAAATCCCAATGTCCATGTTCTAATCTAATTAACTTTCAGATCAACCTAAAGCAATAAAAACAGTACAGATACTAAATTTTCTTCTCAGTATGGCACTGGGGGGCAATACGGCAACGTTAGTTTTTTTTCCCCCCTATTTCCTAGTTTCTTGATTATCTCCTTTAATAACTTAATCATCTTCGTATCCTCAAAGCCTAAAACCCAGCAGGTGCTCAATAAATATTTACTGAAAGACAGTGGAGGTGAAATAATCAGTAATCAAGATTAGTCAGGGGAGTGATGACCTTCTCTTCCATCTGTCTCCACCAAGAGTCAGGAGCATAGATTATTTGAGAAAATGTGGGCAATGCACTCAAGAGCAAGCCCAGTTTAAGTACCATCTCTTTTACTAGGTCTCTTTAACTGTTCTAGACCCCAGTCATGACTTCTTCATCTAAACTCCTCTAGAACTTATTTACTCAACAACAATAAACTCTCCTATATTAAGCACTTACCTTATGACAGGTACCATGCCAACATACTATGCTAACATGGATTATCCTTGCAACAATCTTACGAAGTAGGTCTCATTATCACCTTCTTACAAATTAAAATTAAGGCTGAAAGAGATTAAGTTTATACACCTTTGGAGAGTTAGAATTCAATATGGATCTGTATCCAGTGTTCAGTAAACAGCACTCGAGCATCTGTTTTTGAACAGAGTAATCTCTTCCTCTTCTGAACTACACTACCCTTTCTACTTTTCGTGAAACTTACCACAGTCTACCTTGAATTACAATACAGGACAGACGTTAACAAAAACAACACCGCTACTATTAGACTGTATGCTCCCTGGGGGAAGGATTGTGACATTAATTCACATCCTCATGTTCCTAAAGTATTTAACACACTTTGATCTTGTGAACATTCAATAAATGATTCTGAATTTAGAAAGTCATGAAGAATACCCATTGGTGCATTGTCAGTTATCAAACAGATCACTTTAGTCACTCTGAGGAAATGAGATTAAAGAGGCTGTGAAAACTTGGGAAAGAGTTAACTTGGGAATCACCAAACTTCAGAGGTACAAAGAATCTCAGAAATCTGGCCCTAACTCCTCATTTTACAGATTGAAAAGGCTGGAAACCAGAAAGCTTAGTGCTTTGTCCCAGGTCACACAGTTCCTGATTCCTATATTAAGGTTCTCACTACTATATCACACGACAACTTAATGGTGATACTTCCCAAGGAAATGAGTAGTTCTCTGCAGTTTCAAATACATATCATCAAACAATTACCAATTAAGATATGCTCTGTTTAGGACAGTCTTGCTGATCTGAAGACAGCAAACCCTGACTGACAGAAGAAGCATGAAATAAAGTATAAGTAACAATAAATAATTTATGCCCTATAGATTAGACCTATAAAGCACCTATACGAGGCCAGCAGAACTTTCACAAGATCCTCTTCAAGGAATGAACAAAGTACAGAGCAAGCAACTGAAAAAGCTACAGTCAAGTAGTCAGTGACTCTGCCAAAAGGGAGACTTAATAGTTAGTATATGAGGGTATGCTCATGAAAATCTGAGTGGAATCCGTTCTGAATCAAACAAAATCTCAGCAAATTCACTGTCTTAAGAAATTGTCTGATCTGGATATATGAGACAAAAGCAGCAAATACTAAATCTACTTTAAAGTTTTTTGAATCAGTGTCTAACAACTAAAAATTCTTCTCTCAAGTCTTCCTGTGTTTCAAAATATCCTATACAAAACGTTTAAAGAAGCTCATATCTCTAAATTCCTCTCTGGTAATTGTTAGTGTGACTGTCAGTTTTTAAGCAATTCAATTGTTTTTTTTTTTTTTTTTAACAGAAATCAACTACCTGCTGTGGTCTTTAGAGAATTAAGGAGATAATATTTTCCTAGAACACTGAATCGCCATTTTGCCATTACCAACGGCCCTACATTAGGTAAAGCGTATACAGTATGTTCATCTTACCAAACTGAAGTAAAAGATCATCTTCTAATACCGGCTTCAAATATTCTTCTTTCTCCCAAGGCACTGGGTTGTATATGGAATTCATATACTCAACTGTAGGATTCTGGATGTAAAATTAATTGCATGTGTTTTCATTGCATATAATCACAAAATCTCCCTAGTAAAAATTTGGGAAATTAAACGAAGAAGGAAATCAAGTCTATATTAAATAAAATCAGTACATCTCAAGTAAGTAGTCTGTATTTGCCTGTCATTTTATTAACTTGTTTAATTAAGTAATGGTTGCAATGCAGAGTTTTATATTGCTTGGATCTGGGGAAAGTAGCAATAAAAGACGTTCACTTGCATAGAACCGAAAAAGAAAAAAAAACGACCAAGTACTTGAAAGCACACTAGAAATTATTTCTGATTTCACTGAAATAGTGACTATCAGTATTTCCCATTTTAAAAAAAATCAGATTTCTAAAAGACATTCTGTTTACTCTGGTCTTGTGTCTAAGTTTGTTAAGACACTTGTGTTTTAATTTGATCTAAGTAAAAGCAAGGAAGGAACCCTGGTAGCGCAGCAGTTAAGGGCTTGGCTGCTAACTGGAAGGTCGGCGGTTTGAATCTACCAGCCACTCTGTAGAAGTATGTGGCAGTCTGCTTCCATAAAGATTTACAGCCTTGGAAACCCCATGGCATTAGGACAGTTCTACTCTGCCCTATAGGATCCCTATGAGTCAGAATTCGACTCAATGGCAATGGGTTTGGTTTAAAAACAAGGGTTAGGTTATTTGACACTGAATTACTTTTCACATAAGAATGATTCATATCTTAGACACAGTGATACTGCTAAAAACGCCACTTAAGTACCATCTATATACATGTACTTGGTACTTCATGTCGTGCTAGTTCCTGATGCCTGTGATTTCCCCAGGAAGAGGACACCAAATTTAGAAGTTTCTTTTATATTCTTTTAGTCAGTGCATTGACAGTCACTATGCTATTTCTTTAGTTTCTAAACAAAGTTATAAATTAAGCTACCAACTTACCTTAAGCCTAATAAAATTTATTAGCTTAATGTAGCCATAAAATTCAAGTCCTAAAAAGGGGGAAGAAAAAGATAATTCATTTATTTTGACATAATGCCAGTTCTGTTAAATCTGTAGAAGATTCTTTGGTTAGACAATAAAATATTTCTATCCTTTGAACTACTACTTATAATATTTTTAATTTCTAAGAATTAGAACAGGAACTTTGATACTTCTGAATATTTTAACTGAGAAACAACCACAGATGACAGTTTTTAATGTTTTCCTTATATTTCTACAAAAAGGGAAAGTAATTTTTAGAATTCGACTCATCTGTCAGAAAAATATAAATTAGAAAATTAGATTCTAAATTATACCAAATATTGGACAGTTGATATTAGAGCTGAAAGTTTCTAAAGTGCCAATTTTTATGGTGCCTACCAAATTATAATTTTGCCATGACATGAAATAAAGAAACTCTACCAGCTTTCACATAAATAATGAAAATTAAAAAACAATGGGACTAAGTCATTCACAGGTCTTAGATGAGTAGCTGCAATTGAATTTATGATTTATAAACATATCACATGTTTATCTGAGACCTAAGAACCTGCCTCGTATTGCCGTTTTTCAGTAATGTCCTGTCTAGTTGTTAGTGAATACCGGGACCAAAGAACTAATTCTGTATTTAGTTAATTTTAGTGGAATAGTGTAGTTCTTCTATATCCATGTAAAGTTAGAAGTAGACAGCTTTAGTTATAAGCATGTTTCAATATAAGTTTTAAGAAAAACATCACCTGAATATTTTGCTTACCACCTTACTTGATCACTCCCTTTTTCCATACCCTCTTACCAAACTTCTCATAAAATTCAATCTCGCAGGCATTATCCTAAGTAAACTAATTTTGGTATCTTGCCTTTTCTTTCCCTACAACTCAGCAACTGTACTTCTTCCTACATCTTCTTTACCTTTCAGTTTTTTCCTACTCGTTTTCTTTCTACTCAGTAAAAAAACCCAGCATGTCCCTATAAAAAAAGGCAGGCCTTGAAGATCATATTATACTTTGACTGGGTTGTCTTTTTCCATAACGACCCACCTCCTCCTCCAAAGCCCATCTCTACTCTTGCTCTCCCACTCCCTGATTCCAACACGAGAAAATGCAATCACACGCCAAGCTAACTTTTAAGTTGTGAAGCAAATACAAGCTTACATACAGTGAATTTTCTCTAGAAGAATGTCTTATTATTAATCTTTTCTCAAAGGCCACTTATCAAAAAGACTTTTTCATTTCCATGAGACATGCCGTTACCATGTATGTTCCACTATACTGGACTTGTGTAGAAAATGAAAAGTTTGAAAAATTTTAAGGTTTGAACTTAAATTTCATAACAAAAATTTTCTTTATTCTAAATACTCACCATGCTTATGGACCATGTTATCAATATTAAATTGGTGCTCAGACTTACAGTGCAAAAATGTTTCTTCAGCAGATGTGAATAACCTGAAAAATCAAGCAATAGCATCATGGAATATGGAATATACCAAAAACCAAAACCAAACCCCTTGCTGTCAAGCTGATTCTGACTCACAGCAACCCTACAGGACAGAGTAGAACTGCTCCATAGGGTTTCCAAGGAGTGCCTGGTAGATTCGAACTGCCGACTTTTTGGTTAGCAGCCTTAGCTTTCAATCACTACGCCACCAGGGTTTCCAACATGGAATAGTTCCCCAAAAAATATAAATATTGATTTCATTTTAAATATAATTTTTTTTTCTCTGGTTTCTAGTTTTAATTCCAGTTAAGAAGAAACAAACATATTTACGGAAAAGAGGAAGGGAACCCAGTACTTTTATGGGGAATTCGTACTTCTGAGTCCTACTTTTCATCTAAAAGCAAATTAATTACCCTTGAAATATCAAAGTTAACTTATTGTGACAAATTATTTGTAAATTTATCTAAAGGCTCTTATGAGAGAGAGCTGCCTCTGATACAGACTATGTTTCTCTCAGGTCACGCATATTCCCTACTTGAGATTCTTTTCTCCTCTAAGCATTAACTCCGCTTTCAGAGGCTTTGAACTAGCACAGCTCAAGCTGCTTTTAGAAATAAAGTATGTCATGTTACAACTGGCACATTCCCAAAGTGCGAGAATATTTTACAAGTGATCTTGTACTGTTCCCAAAGTACTTGCATTATAGACACTATGCAGACCAAGCTTCTTTATTATGTGACCTGCAACACTGAAAGACACAGACAGGAACACAGGGCTGAGAAGCTACATGCCTTTTTTATATGCCTAGCACATATGCAACAGTTCGTTTCCAACAAATGTTTACTGAAGTAGGTTATTTGCAGTATTTATGGAGCCTAGCACAAGGCGATGTACCCCCAGTGCTCAATAACTATTACTTTATGACACCTAGAATATATGCAGACATACTACCTACCCAATGAGGCTACATGAGAACAAGGAGGAACCAAGCGGAATTAATACACCACCAATCAGCACCATGCTCAGATATAAGCCGCACTGGAAAAATGTTTACTAAAGTTTAACACTGGCCATTCCCAATCAGGCCTCTTTCATCCTTACATGCCCAGGACATCAGCCAAAGTCAAAGCTTCTTGAGACCAAGACGCAGAATTTTAAACAGAAAGTGTGAGCTTGAGAATAAGACAAACCACAACTTTTTAACCTTGAGCGAGTTATTGATATTGCAGTCTCTCTTCCCGCCTTTTTTCCCTTGAAGTAGAAAATGCATCAATTCCTTCCCCTTCGCTAAGACGGGAGCCCCCACCTAAGAGAGCTGAATTAAAAGATTATTTAAACGGCGCTAGTCTCAACTGGAAATTTAACACCTGAAAAGCTCTCTACTGATGACAGAATTACAGGATCTTTAGGAATTATCTAGTTCAGTGACTTTGAAACTTGTTACTCATTAGAACCACCTAAGTGTGTTTTCTAAAAATAGAAGGCTGATTCAGAAGGACTCAGGTGCAGAGTTTCGCATTTGTACTTTTTTCTTTTTAAGTGTCTCAGGTGATAAGGGTGCACAACCATATTTGGGGACCACAGATCCAGTTCAACCTTATTTTACAGAAGGGAAACTGAGGCCCATGGAAGGGAAGTAGTATAACCTGGCTTCCAGTTCATGGCTCCAATGTCTACACCACTATGGATCTTACTTCTTAACAAGCAATCACCCCAAACCAATGCTACAAGAATTCAAGGGCAGGCCACTCTGGTTCGACACTAGACCAGTCCTTCCTGAGCAGAGGACACTGACCCCACGCGACCCGGGCACCCTAAGGCTGCGGCCGGGCGCTCAGGTGGACGAACCTGTCACAGAACAAGCAGGGTGTCTGCTGCTTGTCGTGGGGAAGCTCAGCATCGTCCTCATCCTCCCAGGCGGCCTCGTCACCGCTGTCCGACAGCTCAGGCTGGTCCTCCTCATCCTCCATAGCGCCCCGGCCGCCTAGCACACGCACAACAATCAGATCTGTCTCAGACATCAGTGCGATCCAGGAGCGTGGGGAGGGCTCCCCTCGGTGAGCACTTCCCCAGCCGCGTCCGCCCGCGGCCCTCACCCAGCACTTCCTCCATCCTCCCCGCACGCCCCCACCAGCTCGGCTCCGCGTCCCGGGGTAGGCTAGGGGGAGAAGGGTCTTTCACCGATTCACGGCGGCGCGGCCTGGGCAAGCCGGGTGCCGAGGGACAAGGGATACCCACCAGTAGCGCCCAATGCTAACGAGCACATGGTGGTAGTGGTGGTTCCCTGGGAGCCCGGCGTGCCTTGGGGACGGGGACCGGGCTGGGCACCGCGTGCCCGCACAGCTGCTGCCGAGCTCTCTGGGCCGGGGGACCCAAGGAACAAGGACAAACGCTAGCGCACCGCAGGGCCGAGACTTGAGAACCCCCGCGGACGCCCGGAAACGCGAGAGGGCGCCCGCCAGTGGAGAGCGCTTCCGGCCTCGAGGCCGCTTGTGGGTCACGTGGGTTGGAGTGGGCGGGAGGAGAGCCTGTACTCCACCTCCCCTGCGGCAGGGTTGACGGAGTCCGCGCAGAGTAAGCGCTGTAGAGAATGATGAACGCCGCAGGGTGGAAGCAGACTTTTTTCTCCGCCTCCGGCTGCCGCAGACCTTTGCGGGAGGTCGCCTCCCCTGGCCCCGAGCCCCCAGGCAGAGAGACTCCCTAGCAGTTTTGCTGTCGCCATCAAGTCCTCTGTGCGTGGAGGGGCGAACAGCCCCGCGAGCGCCCTCTGGTGGCAGAGGACGCCAGTCGCAGGCTAGAATCCGGGGACTCTGGTTCCTGCGCTCCCGGATACCCGCGGGGTGCAGTTGGGAAAGGGAACTGCATGAGCCAACGTGGTGTGTACTGTAGAGTTCAGATAGGAGCCAAAGCCTCGTGGGCTGTTTTAAGGATTTTAGTCTTTAAACTGTTTAAGGGCATGGACTCCAGCCCGCTGGCCTGGTAGTTGGACCAATTTCTAACTACATCATCTTCAGCAAGTTGCCTGACTTCTCGGTAACTTTACTGCAAAATGGGAATAATGACTGCACTAACTTTAGGTCTATGGCAAGAACGAGTTAATGCGTGTAAAGTGCCGAGCTTTATTTATCCTAAGCAGTGGGAAGCAAGTAAGGAGGTGTTAAGAAAGTAATATTCTGGCTGCCCTGTAGTGAACAACCCAAACGTTTCCAAGCTTCATTTCACTTCTTTTCCCTTCCTTGTCATACTGTGGTGGCTTGCAGGGCTGCTGTGATGCTGGAAGCTATGCCACTGGTATTTCAAATACCAGCAGGGTCACCCATGGTGGGCAGGTTTCAGCGGCGCTTCCAGACTACGATTGACTAAGAAGAAGGACCTGGCAATCTACTTCTGAAAAGATGAGCCAGTGAAAGCCTTATGAATAGCAGCAGAACATTGTCTGATACAGTGCTGGAAGATGAGCCCCTCAGGTTGGAAGGCACTCAAAATACGACTCTGAAAGAGCTGCCTCCTCAAAATACAGTTGACCTTAATGATGTGGTTGGAGTAAAGCTTTCAGGACTTTCCTTTTCTGATGTGACACGACTCAAAATAAGAAGAAACAGCTGCAAACATCCATTAATAATAAGAATGTGGAACGCACAAAGTATGAATCTAGGCAAATTGGAAGTTGTCCAAAATGAAATGGAATGCATAAAGATCAATATCCTAGGCATTAGTGAGCTGAAATGGACTGATACTGGCCATTTCGAATCAATCATATGGTCTACTATGCTGGCAATGACTAATTGAAGTGGAAGGGTCGCATTCATCATCAAAAGAACCTTTCAAGACCTATCCTGAAGTACAGTGCTGTCAGCGATAGGATAATATCCATATGCCTACAAGGAAGACCAGTTAATACAACTATTAGTGAAATTTACGCACCAACCACTAAGACCAAAGATGAAGAAATTGAAGATTTTTACCAACTTCTGCACTCTGAAATTGACCAAACGTACAATCAAGATGCATTGATAATTACTGGTGATTGGAATGCAAAAGTTGGAAACGAAGAAGGATAGGAATTTGGAAAATAAAGCCTTGGTAATAAAAAAGACACTGGAGATCACATGGTAGAATTTTGCAAGACCAATGACTTGTTCATTGCAAATACCTTTTTCAACAACAAAAACAGCAACTATACATGTGGGCCTCATCAGATGGAATACATAGGAATCAAATTGACTACATCTGTGGAAAGAGATGATGGAGAAGTACAATATTATCAGTCAGAACAAGGCCAGGGTCAATTGTGGAAAAGACCATCAATTGCTCATATGTGAGTTCATGCTGAAGCTACAGAAAATTAAAACAAGTCCTCAAGAGCCAAAATATGACCTTGAGTGTATCCCACCTGAATTTAGAGACCATCTCAAGAACAGATTTGACACATTGAACACTAATGATTGAACACTAGATGAGTTGTGGGATGACATCAAGGACATGATACATGAAGAAAGTAAAAGGTCATTAAAAAGGAAAGAAAGACCAAAATGGACATCAGAAGAGACTCCAAAACTTACTCTTGAATGTAGAGTAGCAAAAGCGAAAGGAAGAAATGAAGTAAAAGAGCTGAACAGAATATTTCAATGGGCAGCTGGAGAACACAAAGTATTATAATGAAATCTGCTAACACCTAGCGTTAGAAAAGCAAAAGGGAAGAACATGCTCAGCATTTCTCAAGCTGAAAGCCCTGAAGAAAAAATTCAAGCATAGAGTTACAATACTGAAGGATTCTATGGGCAAAAAATTGAACAACTCAGGAAGCATCAAAAGAAGATGTAAGGAATACAGAGTCACTGTACCAAAAAGAATTGATCGACATTCAGCCGTTTCAGAGGTAGTATATGATCAAGAACCAACAGTACTGAAGGAAGAAGTCCAACCT